ATGTAGTTGGTTTTAGTTTTTTGTATCGTGTTCTAGTTTATTTTGATGAATCTATAATTAAGAAATTCTTGAAAGATAGTCAAAGATTAAGGTTTTTTTAATGGTGTCATTTAGACATTATTATTTTGTAAATTTAGTTTATTTCATGATGCTAATGTTATGAATTATGAGATATATATTTGATTAAAGATTTAATTCATTAGTATTGAGAACAAGTGTTGGTAATGCTCAATCCCACATAGTATTGGAAACAATATTGGGAATGGTATTTAAGGCTTGGCTTTCCCACTTTCTTGTTGAGTGATAGAGAACAAGGGGGACTCTCGCGTGCCGCCGCCGCTGCCGTCCGTGGTCGTGGTCGTGGTCGTGGTAATACGTGTCTTCGACACGTCTACGCGAATACTATTTTTTTAGAGAAAATTCTTAAGAAACAAATGCAATACCATCATTCGTTGCGATTTTGGACTATTGCAACGAACTTGGAGACTATCGCAACGAACTTGGAGACTACCGCAACGAATTTGGAGACTATCGCAACGAACTTGGAGACTATCGCAACGAACTTGGAGACTATCGCAACGAACTTGGAGACTATCGCAACGAATTTGGAGACTACCGTAACGAATTTGGAGACTACCGCAACGAACTTGGAGACTACCGCAACGAACTTGGAGACTACCGCAACGAATTTGGAGACTATCGCAACGAACTTGGAGACTACCGCAACGAATTTGGAGACTACCGCAACGAATTTGGAGACTACCGCAACGAATTTGGAGACTATCGCAACGAACTTGGAGACTATCGCAACGAACTTGGAGACTACCGCAACGAACTTGGAGACTACCGCAACGAACTTGGAGACTACCGCAACGAATTTGGAGACTATCGCAACGAACTTGGAGACTATCGCAACGAATTTGTAATAAATCGTAACGCGAACTTGGACTATCGCACCGAATTTGGAATAAATCGCAACGCAAACTTGGACTATCGCAACGAATTTGGAAAATCGTAACGCGAACTTCGACGATCGCAACGCAAACTTCGACTATCGCAACGCGAACTTGGACTATCGCAATATGAATATGTAAATCGCAATGCGATAGTCGAAGTTCGCGTTGCGAATTTGGAAACTGATTTGCTATACCTGATATCGCGTTGCGAATTAGCGATCGCATTGCGATTTTGTTGGTCATTTTGGCAAATTCAAAAAAAGTTGGTTAAAATCGTATATTATAAGGCATTTTTTGTCACTTTGGTTATTTTCTCTTTTAGAAATGTATGAAAAATGTCCAAATATGGTTATTATAGTTTGATTTATTTATTCAAAAATTCATTGGGATCCAACGAGTTTTCAAAAAAAAAGAAGTTAGAGAAGATGAACAGTGAGAAGAGGTAAACTCGATAAATTATTTTAAATTAAGATTAAATTGAAAAACAAAATATTAATTTTAAAGATTAAAATTGATTTTATATCAGTCCACATAATCACCTCTATTGAATTCTAATGGAAACTTAAGATAAATGGTCAAAAAAAAAAAAACACAACATTCATGATGATAAAAAAATAGTTGATTGAATGACTAAAATAAAAGATCCTTGATAATTTGATGACCAATGGTGTAGTACACATAAAAAGAATTTTTTTTGCAAGTTGGAAAAGGAAAGTCAAATTTGTCACCCTGATTTTGGACCGGCGATTTACTGCATTTTTCTTCAATGGAAAGAAAAACAGTGATGCTCCTCCCGCAGTCCGCACCTCAGTCAGTCCACCGGCGGATGCATGTCCATTCTAGGTAGGTGCGTACATGCTCACTTTACAATTTTTTATATTAATTGTTTATTTTATTAAAGATATCATCTTTAAAAAAAAATTATGTGTACTCTATAATTTAAAATTTTTTATATTAATTATTTATTTTACTGAAGATGTTCACCTTAAAATTTTATCTGTCTCTCTCATACGAATTTTTTTTATTATTAATAGATATGTGCTCACCTTAAAAAATATTTCTGGATCCGCAATAATGACAATAGGGATGTCGGGGTGGGTGAACCATACTCCTAGTTGATATGATTTTTGAGATGCTAACATAATTTATCGTAATCAAATTTACTGTCATCTAATTGTATCCATTAGAATCATAATCTAATGGATATAAGATCAAGAATCCAATATCTAAATATGTTAAATCATCAAGAATAAAATACTAAATTTACAAAAACATATATGAATCATTTGTTGGAGATTACCTAGAAGGTTGAGATCTTGAAGATTGTATTAGGGCTGAGATCTTCCAAGAAAATAAAATTCTTTGAGTATAAATTTTCTGACGAAATAAGAGAAAATGCAATATGGTTTATTGCTTAGAGATTAACATCTCTTTATATAGTTGATTTAAGAATCAATTATTGTATGTATTTATAACTTCGACCATCATTAAATTATAAATACAACTTTAATAGTATCTATATTTATATTCCCATGATACTTTTAATATCTTATGATTTATAATCATGATTGATCACTTAATTTTATGTCAAATTTGATGATAACGATATACATTAAATTATACGCCCAAGATTTTAATCCAACAATATACACTTAACATGTTAGCTTAATAGTAGTCATAATATTCTTATAAGTGACACATATACTAATAAGTCCCTATATAACCTCTCAAAGATGACCGAAAGACGAAATGCGACCTTAATGAAATCACCTCTAGGGATGGCAAAAAAACTCGAATCCGACGGGGAAAACCGAATTAAACGGGTCAGGTTCGGGGATGATAAACGGGGACGGGGACGGGGACGGGAAAACCCGTTTATGCTAAACGAAGACGGGTTTGGTAATCCCTACCCCGATTACCCGGCCCGATACCCGCCCCGATAAATATTTAAAATAATTATTATATATATATATATATAATATTAATAAATTTAATTTATATTAATTTATATATAATATATATATATATATAATATATATATATATATATATTTAATTTAAATATATATATACCCGGCCCGATACCTTTTTAAATAATTGTTTATGCTAAACGGGATACCCGTTTCCCCGCGATTTTTCCCGATTACCCGATGGGGATCCCCGTTTAAATCCCCGCATTTTTTAAGCGGAGACGAGGACAGATTTTTTAAACGAAAACGGGGACGGAGAGACCAATACCCGGCCCAAACCCGACCCGTTGTCATCCCTAACCACCTCACATTAATTCCTCTATAGTCTATCTCCTAATAGATACATGGTTCATCGATGCTAATCGACGATCAATTATTTATCGACTGTGACTCTCTGCGCTACAATCCATTTGATCTCATTAATAAATGATGTGATTAGTTGGAAAGCCTCGTACCCAAAAATAATCAATCGAAATGCACCTCTAACAGTCAAATAATCAACCTCACCTCTTACGTTTATACTAAAATCTCTCCCATCTACTCGATTACTTGATTAATCAAGTACACGTATTTTTAGTCTGCATAATTTATCCATCAATAAAGTATTTAGTCTGCTAATAAACTGTTTTTATTAGAGAAAATTTATTAGGAAAAAATTGCCTTAAAATCAAACTGTTTCACAAGGCATTGATTAACGTGTAAGGAGCAAGTCAAAAAGACCCAAATTTCAATCCTAATGAGCACGTGGTTTCCTAGAAGAAAATGATCAGTGAGAATAATTTCCAATTTTTGAAAATATTTATGTGGTTTCAACAAGAAATTGTTGTATTTCGTGTGGAGGATCTTTTTCATTAAAGTATAGAAATTTGTTGAATTCTTGCAACTTACGTACACATCAATGTTTAAAAATAATTTATAATTGTAGTTAAAATATTTTGTACATTGATAATTTATATTAAAATATTGTAAAAAAAATTGAAGTGGTTATAATAGTTAAAGAAATTTTATTGTTCCTTGATAACATGGATTCGAATAGTTAATTTATAGGCGTGCATGAACTTAGATCTATGTTTTTCTAAAAAAACATAAAAAAAATTTGTATCATATTAATTTAATGTTTTTATATAATAAAATAATTTAAGATTAAAGTAAATTATATTAATAATCATCGATCTAATATTATTTTCTATTTTGATAATTAGATAGATTATTTCTTTCAATAAAACCATCACTAATATTACTTTTTTGTTTTAATCACAATTATATTATGTCATCCTTTAAAATTATATTAAAATATAAATGGGGTGAATCAAACCTATAGTTCATGTAAAAGATATTAAATATTTAATCATTAAATCAAATATTCTGATATAATTTGAAGATGATAATATAATATATTTTAAATATATATTTTGGTGAAAGTTTAATAAATTTATAGCCTATATACATTGGTGGTTACATCAGAAAAAAAAGAAAAAGAAAATAATGGATAATTTTGGAATAAATATTATATCAACATAGTTGTTTAATTTTTCATGATTGATAATTAAAATAAAAAATATTATTTTTAAAAAATAATAATTCTATTATCAAAATTACTAAAAAAACAATAGTGTAATTTACCTTATTATTTGATAATTATCTTTTATGCAGACATGCAGGGGCATTCGTAATATTCCTTTCACAACTGTACACTGCGTAAATTAACTTTTTTTTTTTTGAACGGTACGTAAATTAGCTTTTTAGTTTCATGAGTTGCCTTTTTTTTTTCATTTTGTCTGCGATATTTTTTAGATGTAGATTTAGATTTTTCATTTTTTTATTATATGGCATAAGTTGAGAATGTGACATTTTCAAAAGGATTAACAATGAAAATAATTGTCGAATTTAGGGCTAATATGTACAATGGACAAAAAGAATTAAGGCCTAAATTGTGAAAATGTCTAAGCTTAAGGACTAAAAGTTATTTTTATCCCTCATTCTATTATTTTGAATAGTGGTCAGCCTTTTTCGTTCCTAGTCTTCGTTTCAATTCAACGTTAAACCATGTAGAGCCAATTGAACCATCTTTTCTTCTGCTTAAAAGAGAGGAAAGAAGCCAACGAAAATTCATTTGATTGGTGCGGAATTTTCTTCTATGATCTTCCTTTCCATGGAAATATATAGAAGCTTTTCAGAGCACTAATCTCAGCCGAAAATGGTGAAATTTAGCCTCCGAGGTTGAAACTAGACAGCTTCAAACACCACCATCTTCCTTGTTCTTCGTCTCTTCCAGTTCAAAACCCAGAAAAAAAATTAAAAAGAAGGAAAGTTGAAGGCTAAACATGAAATCTATGGGGTTTTCAGCCTTGAAACAATCATACTGGAGATGGGTTTTCATGATCATCTTTTCTTTTCTAGTTCCCACTTCTTTCTCTGATCCAAGAATCACGAACGTCGGGCTTTTCTGCGGCGATTCCCAGCCGCCACACGGGACGAACTACGTTCCGAATTTCACTGAATTGATGAAACAGTTGTCGAACCAGATGAACGACAATCACTTTGCTTCCTATCATCTCAACTCCACGCCTCCGATGTATGGATTGGCTCAGTGCCACGAAGATTTGGACCATACCGATTGCCTCCTTTGTCATGCCGAGGCCAGGACTCGAATCCCGCGTTGCCTCCCTCGCTCGGCTCGAATCTTCCTTGACGGCTGCTTCTTGCGTTACGAATATAATCAAGACTTCTTTCACGAATCTGTTTCGCCAACTTTCGACACCGCCAATTGCAGCTCCAATAATAACGCAACAACGCTTGATCGTGATCGGAACAGCAGGATGATTTCGTTCGGTAGAAACGTCGATCACGCGGTCGGGAACGTAACGAGTATCGCTTTGAGAAGAAATGGATTCGGGGTGGTGGGGATGGACGGAGTGTACGCATTGGCGCAGTGTTGGGACAGCCTTACGCCGGCGGAGTGTCAGCAGTGCCTGCAGAATGCGTCGGAGACGGTGAGAAGATGCGTTCCCAACGACGAAGGCAGAGCTTTGAATGCGGGGTGTTATTTGAGGTACTCCACAACTAGGTTCTATACTGAAGGAGCAGATTCTGAGGGTCATCATGGTAAGTCTATTGCCATTTTTCTTCATTCTTTTTTGAAGATTTTGAGATTGATTTTAATAATTACAGTGTCTTCTTCTTCTTCTTCTCTTTTCCAGGCTATTCGATCGGAGTCATTATCGCAATCGTCTTGGCATCGTCTGCGTTCGTAACACTTTCAGTTTCAGCAGCTTATGTTATTTATGCAAGATTATCAAAGAGGAAAAGAGGTAACAATACAATATCTCAATGGTGTTCCATTTCCAATTGTATGCATTAGTGACTAGTCCTCTGCTCTATATGAACCATCAATTCCATTTCCCAGAGCTAAAGAGTCTCGGCTGGATTTCGAAACGGTTCGACCGATTGGGTTTGATGTTCAAGTACGAAACTCTAGAGAAAGCAACGGATTACTTCAGTCCTTCAAGGAAATTAGGCCAAGGAGGAGCTGGTTCAGTGTTCATGGGGATTTTCCCCGATGGAAGAACTGTAGCTGTAAAGAGATTGATATATAATACAAGACAATGGGTTGATGACTTCTTTAATGAAGTAAATTTGATCAGCATAATTCAACACAAGAATCTGGTGAAGCTTCTTGGTGCTAGCATTGAGGGCCCTGAAAGTCTCCTGGTGTATGAATACGTGCCCAACAAGAGCCTTGATCAGTTCCTTTTCGGTAATGTTTTGCTCTTTAATCAAATGTGTAAATGATTTTAGCTTCAAATGCTGATGATTTAGTTTTCATTTGCAGATGAGGAGAAGTCGAAACTTCTAAACTGGAAGCAAAGGTTCAATATCATCGTCGGAATAGCCGAGGGCCTTGCTCATCTTCACGGAGGAGGCTCTCACGTAAGAATAATCCACAGGGACATTAAGAGCAGCAATGTTCTTTTAGACGAGAATCTCAACCCGAAGATCGCCGATTTCGGACTCGTTCGATGTTTGGGTACCGAAAGGAGTCATCTTAGCACTGGGATTGCCGGAACACTGTAAGTTTAGAGCAAGAATTATCTGATATCACACATGATATTTCCATTCAAGCGTTCTTAAAAACATGGCTTCGGTTTTTCTTGCAGCGGATACATGGCGCCGGAGTACCTCGTTCGAGGACAACTTTCCGAGAAAGCCGACGTTTATAGCTTCGGTGTACTTGTTATTGAGATTGTATGTGGCAAAAAGAACAGCAGCTTCACGAAATCCGGTTCCCTTCTACAAACAGTAAGTTCCAAAAAAAAATTCTCGGATTAGAACATTTTGTTGCTCTGAGATCACTGAATTTGTGGTCTTCAACCTCAGGTATGGACACTTCACAAAACAAATGCATTGGCTGCAGCTGTTGACCTTAGCATAAGAGATGAAATGTCGGTAAAACAAGCCCCCGGGGTGCTTCAAATTGGCCTATTATGTACACAAGCTTCGGTTCTCTTGAGACCATCAATGGCAGAAGTGATTCAGATGTTAACCGATAAAGATTACGAGATTCCGATGCCGAACCAGCCGCCGTTCTTGAATGCTAACGTGCTTGGGACAGCAACTTCATCAGGATCATACAGCACAAACAGTTTCATGTCGAACGCTTTGAGAAAAATTCAGGGTTCGGGTACTTCATCCGAATCTTCCGGGACTCGGTAGTTCGGAATTCGGATCAAGAACATCCGAATCCCGGACATGACTGAGTTTGGATCAAGATATATGTTTGAATCCCAAACGATCATGCAGCAAAAATTTTGGAAGGCCGTATGCTAAACTGTACTTATTTGTCAAAAATGTAATTTTGTTGTTCTTTGTAAATAGTTTATTTTAGGATAAATTACATATTTACTCACTCACTTATTCTTACAATTCTATATTGGTCACCAACTATTTTTTTTCAAAATCATATTTAACGTTACATTTTAGTTTCATTTTGATCATCCGCCGTTAAAAAATTAACTAATGATACTGGCGTGTCATCATAAGGTAATTCCACATCATTATTGAAAAATAAAATAAATCAATTCAGTTTATTTTTTTAATGACGTGTGACTAAATAGAACCAAAACGTAACACCAAGCGTAATTTTAAAAAAGATAATCGGGTGACCAAAATGGAAGTACAAGAATAGGTGGTGACTAAATACGTAGCTTACCCTTAATTTTAATTTTGCTGTTTTTAGGCAAAAACTTTGACTTCTAGCTTTCATGTTTATTATTATTATTATTATAATAATTTCTTTTCACGCCATTGTTGAAGAATCATAGAAGTTTCGAGTGAGTTGGGGTAGCTGCTTGAGGACCAATTTGCATAAATTAGAAAAAAGAAAGTTTTTTTTCAATGTCAACCCACGTGGTAAAGTAGGTAAGTATATATATTGTGCAATTTGGTATTCATTCATCTTTATATGACAAAATCATGAGAAGGTGATGCCGTGAGAAATTTGTTTCACCCACTATGAAATTAAATAGGTTAATGGGTCAATTAAGGTGGTGGATCCAACTTATATCAATTGAGTGTGACATTTTTTGTACCCATCAATTCATGTGGAATTTTGCTCATTTCTTTTTCTTCTTTAATGATATCTTTCACCCCTGATTTTTTTTTAAAAAACAATTTTTATTTCTTTTAATTATTAAATTTTATTTTTTATCAAACCAAAATAATTAATAGATTTATAATTTTTTAATTTAACAAAACTAAAGAAGTTTGTTAAAAAAATTAAAAATATATTTTTTAAAGAAATTGGAAGACCAAAAGTATCATTAAATTCTTTTTATCAGCATGGAAATATATTATAAATTTTTAGTTGAGGCCCAAAAAAAAGTATATTTATATTTTTTATGATTTAAGAAGGCTAGGTTATATAATATTAGTTGAGTGGTCGGTTTTTATTTAATTTAATAATCGGTCCAGTTTAATTCCAACAACATTATAATAAAATAAGCATGTTATAATTTTTCCTACCTTTTATATATATTTTTTTTTTCATTACATCATCTAGAGCGCTGTCGTTTTAACTTACTATTGTTATAGATAAAAAGATCATTTTCAAAGTTTAAGCAATTCACAAATAAAATTGATTGCAACTAAGTGTAAAAATTACCAAATCAAAGCAAAAATCTTTAGCCAGACCTCAAAGCTTTTGGGGTATTTGGTAAAACATCTTTTTTGAGGAGATTTTAGTTTATTCGAGCCTAAATAGTTATTTTTAGTGTTTGGTAAACACGTTTTTGAAAGAGTTTATTGTGCAAAATAATGTGAAAATGAAAACGCTGGAAAATCCAGCGGTTTGGGAGAGCTTATTGCAAAATAAGATGTTAAATGATATATTTAACCTTATTATTTCCATAATTACATATTTTCCATAAAACCTAATCTAATGAAATAGCCTCCGTCCTAAATATTTTAGTGAAATTTTATTTTATTATTCTATATTTTAGTTAAGAAAATATAACAAAACATGAAAGTAGAAAAAATGTAGTGTTGATATTTTATACAATGTTAATAGTATGTATCAATCTCACAATGTTAATTTCTGTAAATATTAAATTTAAAAAATATATTCAAAATTTTTAAAATTATACACTAATTTTCTTAAAGATTTTTTAATTTACTGTCAAAAAATATTTTATCTGAATAATTTCACTTCAATAAAGACTAAATATTATAAAACATATATGTACTTAACAACTAAATGTGTCATACCCTTATTTGTCATTTTACCCATATCAACAATCAATTAAATTTTATTAAACATTTTTATATAAACAATTTATCAAATCAATTTATCAACTCAACTAATCAAATTAATTTATCAAATCAAATTATCAAATCAATTATCGACTATTAACTATTAGTTGTATGCCGAACACACTTTTTTTTATCTACAAACACTGAAATAATAGATGATAAAGTAAATCATATACATTTGCTTTTATAAAGGATCAAATTGATACAAATTATAAATATATAGGACTAAAAAGTTAGTTTACCTTTCCCTCAGGTTTTTCCTACGACGTCGTTTATTTCGAATCATCTGTCTAAATCCTAAAACCCTCCCATCTCGAAAAGCCAAAAGGGAAAGAAAATGGCGACGACGATGTCGATTACAGAGCTTGACGACGAAACAGTGCGCAGCATGTCGATTGGCGCAGTTTTCTCAGACTTCGTAATGTTTTCATTACTATTTTTTCTCTTTAATTCTCTTTTAGATCCGCCATTAAAGTAAATCACTTGTTAAGCTACAAAAAAATAATTACAAGTAATAAAAAAAAACAAGAACAGCTGCTCCAAACTTCTGACTTATTTTATATTTTTGTAATGCGTTAATTTAATTAATGGAAGGTATTTTCACTTCAGCTTACTGATTCAAATTTCCGTCTCTGAATATTCAAATTGATTTGTTTTTACTTGGTTATGTATTTTCAGGGAGGAAAGATAAGTTCACTTGACTTTCACCGAAAGGATGATCTATTGGTGACAGCCAGTGAGGACGATTCAGTTCGCCTTTACGACATTGCCAATGCTAAGTTAGTTTTCTTTTTTCCCTTTCTTTTTTGATGTAATCGAATATAGAAGGAACAAGAGAGAGAGAAAAGACACGTATTGCCAATTTGCCATTGATTTAATTAATAGCTTTAGTTGCAAGTTTCGAGAGAGAAATTTAGTTTTGGTATGATTTGAATTATGAATGTTTGAATGATTTCTGCTTTGTTATTTGGTTTATTGTTAAAAAAATTAAGTGATAAGATCATTTTCATTAGTTGCATTAATGATCATTTTAATATTGGTTTACTTTGATATAGAAAAAATATCATAGTAATTAGGTTTCTTGATAGAAATTTAATTGTTTGGATTATTTTTAATTGGTTTAGGTTGATAAAGACAACAAATCATGAGATTTAATGTTGGTTTACACATCATCCCAGTTATATCATATCAACTAGTGTCTTGATCGTTTTCATCATAGCTTTGAGAAAGTTTTTTTTCCCTCAAAGGAATTGAATTTTTAGTGTTTGTTGGTCTCTGCTATGAAATTAGGTTGTTGATGATTAGAAATTTAATTGTTAGGATCATTTTCAGCCATATCATTTTGATGTTGGTTTAGGTTGATAAAGACAACATATCATAAGAAACATGGTGCAGATCGAATATGTTTCACACATCATCCTAGTTCTGTTATATGCTCTACGAGACACAATTTGGAATCGACTGGAGGTGAGTTTCTTAGGATGATTTAAGCTTTATTCTTATGTTTGTTAACCAAACAACAATTATTGTATCTGCTGTTTCTCTTTTGTTAACAGAAGTCCTACGGTATCTTTCTATGTATGATAACCGATGTCTTCGCTACTTCAAAGGACACAAAGAGAGGTTGGTAATTCTTGACATGTTAATGTTGTTCAAAGAGGTTGAGAAAGAGGTCTGGTTCATATATGATTTGTATGTAGTTCAAGCAATCAGTTATGGAATAAAAGAGCCACGTGAATGCCCATGTTTAATGTTACTTTAGTTATTCAATATTTCAATGAAGGTTTTGGATGTTAACTTCAGGTAGCATGGTTTTGAACTCTATGCATATATCCATATATTGATCTGCACCACTTGTTTGTAGAACATATTAAAACTATGAAAATGGAAAACCTTTGGTTCTTAAAGAGATGTTTCCTTGAATGTTTTACCCTTCCTTGACTAGCCTTTTCTGTTATTGATTTGGCAACACTTCCATTCTAATAAGTTTTCTCGTATCTGCTGCTGCAGAGTTGTTTCCCTCTGCATGTCTCCGGTAAATGATAGCTTCATGTCAGGTTCTCTTGATCACAGTGTCAGGATTTGGGATCTCCGTGTAAATGCCTGTCAGGTTGGTTTCCCATTTTCTTTGAATTTTGTGCAAATGTTGGGTACTAAGAAGTGGACATAAATTATGAAGCTAAATTTCTCCCTTTAAGAAATTGAAGTGCTTAATTGAAAGAAGGATTCTTCCTCCTTAGTCCATTCCCCCAAACAAGGCTGACTGA